TAGGAAGAATGGAAAGAGTACAGGGAACATTCAATCTGCAGTATCATTTGTTTTCATTTTGAAGCTGACGAGGGAAAAATATGTATTTTGCTTAGGTTTGTGCCCTTGTAAAAAGTGTTCTTAAAATTCAGTATATGTTTTTAAACATTTGAAATGTCAGTAGGTCAAATCCTGATCTCACCCTTGTTAGTCAATCACCCAGAAGGTTTCCTGGACATCTTAGAAAATACAACTTAGTTTTCAAAATATGATGGAACCATGTCCAGGAAACCTTCTGGGTAATTGACTACGAGTAGTAGAGAGGTAGTGCAGCTAGCGAGGATACTGAATCACTCCATGCAGATCTCTCTAAAACAGTAAGTACTCCTTCACATTAACTAAGCATTAGAGAGAAACAAGTTAACAGCTAATACCTAATCGTGTCTCAGTGGCTCAGCTTCTGTGATATCACTGCATCACCATTTCATTAGCTCTTTAGTTACAAGATTCCCAGCTTGTCAAGAATACATTTAGCAATGTAAAAATAAATAGAATACCTTTAACAATCCGCTATAGTATCAACCAAAGTAGGCTGCTGCCTATAACAGCTAATGTCTCTCTGAACCAGTTAATCTGTAAAGTGCCACCCTACCTTACCTTCAACTTTTAAAAATCTATCGCATCTTACTCTGTACTGACACAACTGTCCCCCAGCTACTAACAACATGGCTTAGTCTCAAAGGCAAAATTGAACTGTGGATCTTTTTCTCCACTTGCACAAACATTATGCCAGTGTAACTCTGGTGTAGGCAACGGAATTACAGCAACATACAGGAGCAAGGAATCTAGCCCAGGATTTATAACTAGGGGTTAAATCAAGGAGGCAGTTGAAAGATTTCATGGGTAGATTGGAGCCAGCCATGCCTTTCATAGGCTTATTGCAGCCCCACCCCCCCAATTGGTTAAGAGGCCCTGGTGGACCCACTCCTCACCACTGATTGGTGGTTCTAAGGCAGGGGTGGGCAATTATTTTGGGCAGAGGGCTGCTTACTGAGTTTTGACAAGCTATCGAGGGCCACATGACAGGTAGTCCAGGGCAGATAAATATTAATTTTCTAAATTTTTTAGGGGTCCCACGGGCCAGATAGAACGGACTGGCGGGCCACATTTTGCCCACCCCTGTTCTAAGGGCTATCCATCATACAGCCCCCACCCCCCCAACCCCAGCACTGACTGGAGAAGGGTGAGGCAACCCTCGGCCAATCAATAGCGAGGGGCAGCAGCCATCTTCAGCTCCACTTCATGCTAGCAGCCCCCCACCAGGCGCATGGGTCATTTTATTTTCAGCAAGTTCCCCCCACCCAGTATTTCACAGGCATTGCCCAATTTCATAGGCAACAATGGATTTGAGTAGGTTCCTATTTATAACAGCTAAAGCTTCAAAGATGCATGCCGTTAAAATCTAGTGAAACAATCTTTTCAGGCAGGCATCTACTGCTTATTTTCTCATGGATCTGAGAAAAATAACTGGTATCCACTGAACAACACCCTCGAAATCATGTCGCTCTTGTAAGTTATACAATTTCTTTTTTTATTTTTTTATTTTTTTTTAAGAACACTGAAAGATTTGGAAGTTCAGAAGTGGTAGAATTAAGACTGCCTGTGTAACCTTAATTCTTCCTACTTGTGCACATGCGTTATGACAGACTCCAATGACATGATAGCATACCATTTTATTAGAGAATCCCCATCTCATTCAGTACCCAGGTGGACCGTCCTTACAGAGAGCAGCTTTTCGATGTTCTGTTTTCTCCCACTTGTTCACTGAAGCAGTACATGTTGTATACTTACTGCACAAAGAAAATTACAGCACAATCCAGAACCTTTGTGGGGTTAGGTTCAAACATGAATATTTGCAGACTAGCAGAGGGTGTATATGGAGCTACAACAAACAGCTGTGAGGGACCACCAAGATGCTCCAGTTGGTTGTTATGGCTTATTTCAAAGCACTCTGCTTTTTCCTACATACGGGACTGTTGCTGTGCTCCAGCTTAGTGGGGCAGCAACACTTTGAAATAAGAGCTGTAACGCTGTGCAGCTCATCCTTCATTCAGCAACCCCACTGTGAAATAAGCTGATTTCAGGCCATACGCAATTCAGTAAACCAGGTTCTACTGTATAAATTTCTTCGTGGGCTTTCTACTGAGCTCACCATTACAGTATCAGACCGGCTCATAAACTTAAACTTACCTTCACAAACCCCAGAAGTAAGAGCTAATAATTTCCGCTTTCCAGATAATTTCCTTGTTGCTCAGGTTCCCAAGTGCAAACAAACTAATGCTGGGTGCTCAATTTAAGATGTTTAGGACCTGATTTTTCAGTATCTTTAGCATTAGAAAGGACAGTTCTCAGTGATTTTAGTGGTAGCTGAGTGCTCAGTGCTCTGATAAGTCAAGACCCATAGTCTTTAGTGAGGCACCTAGAAGAGAGGTTCATTCACCTAGTAACCACCGCTAGAACATTTGATCCAAGTGACATTCCCTGAATCAGACACTTAGTGGCAGAGGCAGGGACTAGTTCCCTGAAGACCTGGAGTCTTTCAACTGTCCCAACCCTCCTTTCTCTTGCTCCAGTTCTCATCTCAGGGATGTGCCTTGCCATTAAGGACTACCCTCTGCTAAATTCTGGGTACATTTCACAACCCAAAGCAAGGGGGAACTAAAGCATTCAAAAGGAAAAGTTCTCAAGAATTTAACATGGGTATAACTTGCCATTTGTCCATATACTTATCCACAGAATCACTTCAGCTAAAATCCCTGTCCCAGATCAAAATCAACCAAGGGAAGGCATACAAGAATGGGAAATTTCAGCTAAAGCTTGGAAATTATAAGCCACTAAAACAGATCTTATAATGGTAACCTTTACAGAATGCAGGCCTACCAACATCCTGCCTGTACTTACTCCCCAGTACCATGGCATATCTTTCACCAACTAATGCTGAATCTACACCACTTCATCAGTGATCCCAGGGCTGTCTCCCTCAAACATGACACCCTACCTCTCCATCCACACTATGCCCAGAAATGAGGTGAGGCCCTTCTGAAGAACACCCCAAGCTGTCACTCCCTAGACCTCTTCTCCCCAAGCCTGATGAGAATAGTAGTGTGGGGCATCCTCAGCTCAGATTCACTGCCTTGTTTTTGGATTTGGCACAAGCAGAACAGGAGCAGGTAGGGGGTATGCTGTGCCTGAGAGAGTGGGCAAAGTGCTGTAGGCATAGCCTTGTTCTCCTTGAACTCCTCTGAACTTGTGTGGCCACCCTCACACAACGTATCTCCATTTTCACTGCCCTTCCCTGTCCCTTTGTTGCTTCTGTTGAATGAAAGCAAGAAACCAAATCCAAGTAGTAAGTAACATTATTATGCTTGGTGTTCTTTAACCCGAGACCACTGCAATTTTAAACCTCCTGCACTTCCCCTCTACCAACACCGTCTTACATGGTCATGAAGAAAGCAATAATTTGTTCCCTCAACTTCCCAAAATGTAGACCACTAGTTTCACATATGATTGCAGAATCCACTGAAGCGCTGCAGTTCAAAGCAACTGACAAAGACTGGGGTGGAGATCCTACAATCTCCAATTTACTCTGCTCTCTCCATTTTGTAATGATCCTTCCCCCTTGTGGATAAAACAGTGCCAGGCTCCTGAACAACCACTCCCTTCCCACACTGCTTCTGCCTTGGCCCACATAAGGAGTAGAAGAACCATAAATGTGTGCCAGCCTCACCAGTTCACTGGTCCAATTTTCTCTTCTCTGCTCAGGGGTGCCCTCAATGGCCTTTACAGCTGGAGCCTTTATGCCAGAACACGTATGGTGAATAAGAACTGGGATACAAACAAACCAAAGCAAAACACACAAAGCTAATGAAGTAGAGAGACCAGATGCTGTCAGCTGTGTCAGGAAATGGCATGAGAGATGGTTGGGAGTTTAACTCTCCAACAAAACGGCTGGAAAAATTGCCAAGGTAGGCACCACTCACTATAATGAAATTAAAACAGACAGCCAGGGTAAAAAACTCCTGCTCGTCTGTCCAAAGTATGTGTGTAGGCATTCTTCTCGAACACTACGCTGAGAAGCCAGAAGATTCACAAACAAATCCCTGCTCCAAAATCCTTTCCCAACATACCCAGCTCTTACATAGCACTTTTCATTGGCCTTATAAAAAGGCCATCACTATCATTATCCTCATTTTAGAGATGGGGAAACTAAGGAAATAGATAAGTGAAGTGTCCTGTTCAAAAATCACTCAGCAGGCCAGTGGTCACTGTGGGAGTTGAAACCTGGCATCCCGTGCCCTGCGTAAGCCATCCTGCCTTCCTCTGAATGTCTACAATGGGATACACTGAATCAAAAATTTACATTGCATAAGCAAAGTTCCCAGTACCTGGGCTCCCAAGATTTCAGTCTGTCAGATGTCTATGGAAAAATACAGAAAGCTGACCATGTAACCATTTAATCCTAAATCTCTCATCCTTCTTCTTTGAAGTTGACAGTTTCTCAGTTTGAGGGCTTTGCATAGTGCCAAAAAAAAAAAGTGAAAAATTCTACTAACCACTGTATTTGTACTTAATTAGGAAAAACATCCCCCCTTCCCTCCCCAGCCTCTGTACCCCGCCTCTCCCCCCTCCCTCCTCCCCAATAAAATCACTAGCTTCTAGGACTGACTTTTTTGGCTAACAACCTATACCAGGCACTAAACGTAACACTCAATCTTCTATTTTGTGCACAGATTTTTAGTCTTTGCACCTATGGTGATTTAAATGTCAAGTAAGAAGTGGACAGGACAAGGTTTTAATCAAAGTAAGGAATAACAACAGTTTTATTGAAAACTTCCAGTAAAGATGACCCACTAGTTTTGGAATAAAGTACTTAAAAAGTACTACAGCTTAAGTGAATATAAAAGATTAGCAGAAAGAAAACAAAAAACCAAAAACAGTAAAAAAAAAAATATTTTAAACACTTTTTAAGTTTGAAATGGATCCAAAACAGGGGTTTTAAGTCCTCTGAACATTTAACAGTTACTAACTTTGGCAAAACAAACTTCTCTTACAAAAATTAAAGCCTACTTCTGTTATGTAAACTGCATAAAACTGCTACATAGTTCAAAAACAGACTGTACAATTTGTCTTGAAATATAGAGAACTGCAGTCAGAAGCTTAATTTTGCCCTCCTGTCAGCCATAAGAATTAACTAGCTGCATAACTGCTTTTTTTGGGGGGGAGGAAAGGGGCAAAAATAAATCAGAGTTATGATAAAGCCACTATAAAAACAATAAATTGAAATACACAGCAAAATCCAGGCTTCAGTTTTGTTTCTTTAAACTAACACGCTATGTTTACAGTATATTCTATATTTCAGTTGTCATTTTCCCTTCCCATCCCTTCCCCACTTGTATACTTCTAAGTCCTCTAATCTAACCTAAATCAATTCTAAAACTTTCAAATACACTGTACATACATTTAGCAAAAAGCATACCTAACATTCTTACAGCAGTATGGTCAGTACACATTTTCAGAGAGATTATTACACGGGATCAAGACTAAATCATATTCTTTAAGAGAACAGGAGCTATCACTAGACAAAATGGTTTAACAATGTATTTTAGAAAGCCTGTGGGAAGCAGACTTCCATGCAGGCTCTCAAGCCCAGAGAACACAGAGTGATAGACAACAAAAGCTGAACATGTGAAAAAGGAGACCTCAGAGTGCCAGCAACAGGGAGATCCCTTGGGAACACAGTGCAGGAGCTTGTTGTTGTCTTGGTCATCTCTAACTATTAACAAAGTCCTGCTAAAAGATTTGCAGAAAACAGTTTTATAATATAACTTTACAATGTAAACCAAAAAATTTTGATGCCAACAGTATGTTAAAAGGTTTCGGTTTCCCCCCACTCCGAATCCAGCAGTTGGTCACAGAGGTCAAGTATTATCAAGGCTCTTATTCAGCTGTTACCAGTTCCTAAATGTGTCCGACTCATACATCCTTCAAGTACATGCAAGGCTCAAAAGTCTCTAAAACACAGAAGCTTGCAACTCTTTAAGACACAGAGGAAATAGGATTATGAGGTGAGCCCATCTGAGTGAGAACTTTGTCCAGCCACTGAAGAGGCCCGTGCAGATGTATCTCAATCCAGCATGGAGTGCTCGTTACATCTTGGCGATGATATTCAGCTCCCCAGCCCTGGAAACAAACAGTCATGCAGTTAAGTTATCTGATTTTACATGGTCAAATAAGAAAGTAGTACTTTGATCATGTTGTTTTATGCAATACAGACAGTAATAGATATCACTGTGTCTTGGGCAAAATTCACTATTGTGTCTGTTTACACCAAGTCCTCTAAATTTACTTAAACAACTGGCAGTTTTACAGCCCTAAAAGAAAAATGCAAAGATGTAGTTCAGCTCCAACTCATGGATCTCCTGATGCTCATGATGGTCTAATGCCTGCACAATTCCCTTCTTTTTGGAGATTTCCAAACCCCTTCTCCTTGCCAGCAGGCATTACTTCATTCTCTTGGAGGAGAAGAACCCAAGATAAATACTTTGAAGTAAGCCATTTAAATGCAAATGGATTGAGGCTACTGCATTTAAGTGTGCGCGCTCTTCTGGCCACTGAAAAAAAGAGTGAGAAAATGGTTTGAAAAGATGGGCTATAAGGAAATGGGATTAGATTGTCCCAGGGGAAAAAAGTTTGAAGAAGCCTCATGCTCTAAGACTAAAAGGAATGCAAGCTGCAATGAAATGCTGCCAGACACATTCTTAGGTTCAAAAAGAGGTGGCCACGTGCAACTAGGAAAAAGGCGAGTTTCTTCAGTAGCTGGATAGTGTGCTTGAGATGAAGATAAGCCAAAAGTATCCTGGCCAGTTTTGTAGCCAAAAAACAGCCACTGGATACCATTAGTGCAGTGCACTTAAGAGAAGGTGTACTGAATGGCCTGGATATTTTTGCCCTCCCAATACTATATTAGAAGAAGGTGGCAGTCACCTCCTAGTTGAGCTACCAATTAATAGGAAGACACTGATGGCTTCTCTTTTAAAATAAAGGGATTCAGTTATAAGATTTAAGTTCTTCCCAGATCACTGGTAAGCTAAACTCACTGTACACAGTGCAATACAGTAAACTGTCTTCTGGGAGGATATTGGGGATAGCAGATGGAGCTAAGGAATCAAAAGCAAGGTTCTGCACTGTTCCATACTAACCCTTAAAGAGACATGTCTGAAGCAACAGCCACTTAAGATTAAAAATAATACTGGCTTCATTTGACAGCCTTTAAAATTTCTGATTACTTCTTTTAACCCAATGCACATTCCCAGCCCCCCCACAAGTCACCTTAATGGGTCATTGCTATAATCCTTACAAGTATCCTAAGAATGGAAGGATATGCTACAGAGCCAAGAGACCAAATGCCAACCATTTCTTAGTAGAAGGATGTGTACGCTACAGGGCAGGACTAGCTCTTCCATTTAAGACAACCCTCCTGGGTCAGCCAGAGTTAATGATTTTAATTGTTTTCAGGAACAGATTATCATTGAATATAACACTTAGTTGAAGGATACAAAAGTAACCTCTAATACACAACTTGGCTGTGATAAGCAAAAAAAGTTTAGTGTGTTGCTTCTCTGGATCTAGAGTAAGTGAAGAGACGGTGCTCCATATTTAAAGAATGCCACAGAATTGCTTAAGTAAATGCAAATATTCGTTTTCACTCTTGGAGAAATGAACTAAAAAGTGGGTAAATGCAACATTCGGTCAAGGGAATATTAACAGCTAGAAAATGTGATGGCACCTACTCAGGTGCATCATTAAAACAAGCCTATAAAAGCCTAAAGGGAAAGACTCTGAGGTGAAATAACAAAACTAAAGCTGAGCCCACATGAAATGCACCCCTGGACTGCAGAAGTCTGTGCATCAATAAAGTGATGCTTGCCTAGAACAGCTTTGTATATTTAATATTATGCAACAAACTTCTCTTTTATAGAGCTGTTAATACAAGCTGTTAAAATGTTTATTTTCAATGAAATACTTGATAGGTGAACTTTGCTTAAGGAAGGGGGGGCGAGGAGGGAAAGAAAGGAATTGTTTATAACATTAAAACACACAAATCTCTCAAGATACTTCAAGAGGAAACACTTATTTTTATTTGGGTTTATATTTTGTAAACAATAACCCTTACTTACCTTTACAAAACTCATACGAATAGTGCACATCTTGGTAAGCTCATACACTGTTTCAAAGCCATGGTTCACTGACTGAGCCAGAAGCTGAGCAAACTCTTGGTTGTTGAATATTTTCAAACTGCAGCCACTGGGAATTTTGCACACCGTGGTTGGATGAAACCCATGGTGATAGTTGCAGTTCCGACTCTGCACAAAAATACTGCTGTCACTAAGGCATTCAGCATACACTTCTCCGCCAACATAATAGAGGTGAACTCCTAAGAGGGAAAAATATTGGTTATGGAGAGGTCAAATAAATACACAGCACAAACTTTTTTTCCACGTATTGTGTTGATGGAGATACTTCCATGTTTTTCAAGTTCTAAGAAGAATGCATATCATGTTTCAATCTCTAGTCTGGATAATTTAGGCTTTATTGTACCTCCACATTCTACCAGTAAGTTTGCTTTTCAAATCAACTATTTAATGGCAACATTAAAACATTAATTTATTATAAACCCAGAGTATAAAATTCTACAAATAACAGTCCTAGAAGGGGGATTTACATGGTTAGATAACCTGTTCCAACAGATAACCCAAGCATCCATATTTCAGGACACAAAAAGAGGAGACACTTATCGTCTCCTTCAGGCCCACAAAAGTCTTTAGCAAGTAAGGAAGTCCTGCCTGGGTCTGTATTGGAGGCACTGAATGCTGGCATACAGCTTAACATAGCTTCAATGGAGGTGCATTTCTAAGGGGTTGAAGCAGAGGAAAGGGTTTCCAGATGGATCTCCTGACCTCATTCTTGGGGTTATACCTGCAGCCTTTTCCTACGGTGAACAAGCAAATGTCAGTGGCATAACATGAAGCGTAAGGAAAACTCAAATTTCTTCCCTCCGAACTCTCCGGCAGTTTATAAATTTTAGGAAGTGCAGAAACTTTGACTTGACTTTTTGGGCTTAAGTCCTCTTCTGCTGAAAGAAGCCATTTGAAAACAGCAAGATGGCAAAGGTGGGGAGGGAGGAGGGTATGGACAGAGCTTTAAGGAAAAATCTTGACTGCATTTAAATGCTATATCCCCTTAAGATTTTACTGATGACAAGTTATGTCATCTGATTAGCAAAACAATCTGTGGCTGATTTAGGAGTTGCAAATCTGTTCTGTATTTTCTTATAGTGTGTGTGTGTGTGTGTGTGTGTGTGTGTGTGTGTGTGTGTGTGTGTGTAAGTAAAAACATCAAAACCAGACATTAGAAGCATAACATTCCTGCCATCATTGCTTGTATACACTTGCCTTTTGAAAACCTTTTTGCATTTTCCACCCTTCCTCAACTGCCTTTGCTTCTTAATCTGGTGCAGTTAATGTTTCAAAAGGACTTTATTTGCAGCTTGCCTGCTTTTGAGAGTTTACTTTTACATTTGAAATGGAAAATAAATGCAGTGCTATGCAAAAATACATCAATATTTGTTAGGACAGGGTAGGGAGGAAAGGAAGGAACAAGAAATATAATTTAATGGCACAGCCTAGGTGTAGGAAAAACTGCTGAGGTCTGCAAAGGTATTAGTGTGGAGAAAGGTTTTCTGGTTAAAATTTATGGGCAATATTCACAGGAGGACACAGGTTTGGTAGTACTGACATTTCTCAAGCCAAACATTCAAGTGCCTGGATCCAGAAACAGAACTCAAAACCCCCAAGTTAAATGCCCAGCAACATGCCTTCATGGTGCAAAGTAACAGATGCGGAGATGCTCTGAACTAGTTCTGGAACAGAAAATAGTACGGTATGTTAATGCAGCATGGCACCCAAGCTAATAAGCCCAGCTTCTCGCCTTTACCACCCAATGGGAAATGCTGCCTCCTCCTACCTCCAGATGTGGACATCTACCTGGAGCCCTGAATTAAGTGTTTGAGTGAAAGTGGGAATCATAGCCCAAACCGCTCAATCCAAGACTTCTGTGCCCAGCTCATCCTTTTGTGTAGAGGTGACTGGCTCACTCTTTTAAAGAAACCCAGCTGCTAGGGAAGAAGATGGGGGTGATGCCTACTTTTTGTATGATCCCATAGTAGTTGGAGCATTTGCTCAGGAAATGAAACACTATCGTTCAGGCTATAAGAAAGGCTAGGATGGACTTGCTTTGCACTTCTCCTCTTGAAACTGAGCCACTCGAACTTAGGCACTTAAATTCTGCCTAGATACTCCTTTAGATGGCAAAGTTCCTTTACAAAACTTGCCTTAAGAATCTTCCAGAGAGCCTTGTCGGCTCTCAGGGAGTTGCTAATATTATTAGGGCACACTGTCAGTGTTGTTACCTGACTCTGTTAGTACTGTTTGGGGGTTAGGCATTACCAATCACATTTGGCTTCTCTTATTTGGATGGGCAGTGCATGCACTGTTGGGGTACCACTTACAATGCTGTGTCCCTACCAACCGCACAGTTACAAGAAAAGGACCACAAGCTTTTTATCACAACCAACTGAAGCTTGGCCAGGTTTATGATCCACAAACAAGCCTAGACATCTATGACCACCTGGTTCCTGGTGCTAGCCGAGTCATTCCAGGCACAGTATAGGCATGAACATTCTTGGATTACGAACCTGATTCCTAAACCTGGAATAAAGTATTAAGGGTTCCCAAGGCCTTTTCATACTCTGACCAAAACTTGATGTTTACAGCAAATACATTCTAGTTCTCACTAATTTCTACAACATATTTAGGTGATATTAACTACATTCTACTTTTTATTAATTAGTCGACCCTTCCTACCTGTTTGCCACGTCACTGACGTTTATTTTGGTGTTTTATACTGATCTTAAAATCAATTAATTCTCTATTTGCTGGCCTTGCAGGCACCTCTAAAACCAATAGCTCCTTCTCCAGCACTTCCTTGGAAGCCATATATGGTATATGCCTAGTTTCATATTCACTGGGGCCTACTTTGGTTCGTTAACAGAGCCTGCATGATTTGTATATGCACTGATCAATGGTTGTATTAACTCATACTCCAGCAAGACTTACACTCTTCATGGTCCATTTTATTTTAATATACATTTTTTCAGAGACTGGCACTCAAAACTTATACCTACGAGTCTGGCCTGCCCAAACCTTAACTCCTCAAGAAGCCTAACATTGATTTAAAAAGCAATTCTTTACATTATTTGTATTATGGTAGCACCTAGGGACCCTGTTATGCTGGTCACTGCACAAACGCAACAGGTCCTCACCATATATTTAAGAGATGACAATTCTGGATTTCATTTACATATCTGCAAAATTAACCATGCTGACGCTAAACACAAAATGTAGCCGATGCCAGTTCTTTTGCTGGAGACTGGTCTAAGTCACAAAAGGGTAAGTAGTCACATACTTTCACTGAAAATCAACATTTGGGTGCTAAACTGTCTTTTCTGCCCTTAGAAATCTCTTCTTTAAAATGTATAATAAATTAATTAGGTTTATATTTCTGCACAGTGAAGTTGTCTGCGTCAATAACTCTTATTATTCCCAAAATAATTTGTTCAATTCTATGGTTCAGGTTTGAGGCTCATAAACCTCAATAGCAGAGCTCTTTAATTTTAATTAGAACAAGTGTTTAAGACAGCTGGTTTCATTACAGTCTAAGTACCTTCAGACAATGAAAAAATTGATTAGAAGACAGAAAGCTTCCGACAATTATACAACAGGTGAAAACAGCTCTTTGCTTCCAACACTTGGCAAGGAAATTACATAGTTGCTAGCATTCTAATGAACACTTCACAATGCATGATAGTTTGGCCTTGAGGCAAAAAGCCCAGTTTGCCAGGTTAAGCCAAAGAGTAGAAATAAGACAGCGAAGTGTACCTTTGCCAATATGCCGCCTTGTGTTCTCAATAGTGGAATTCCGGTTAACATTAGAGAGAAGCCCAAGGCAAAACCTGTTTTTGTTGTTTGAAGGATCAGTGAAACCATCTACCAGCACACTAGTGGAGGAGGCATGAAATGCCTCCCCAACACGATTATTGAGTTCATAGTAGACAATGGAACACCAGTGTTTCGGCTCTTCATAGGCAACTGCCTGAACATCTGCAAAGAAACAAAGAAAAGGTTGCAATTAAACAGCCCTGGAACTAATGAGTGGCTAAGCTTTAAAGATCTGTAACTTGGAGACTTTGGCTTAAGATCACTGAAAGGAGATCTGGATAACAACTGTAATTAAGTGCAGATCTTCTCTGATGTCCATCTGTGCTATGTATATTTTTAACTTTTTCAGAGATCGAGATAGGAATTTGTACAAATACAGTGAAAAGTGAAGTCACAAGACTTGCACAGAGAACACGTATACACTTGTTATGAACTGAGAGAGAGGAGAGAAATTGTATTTTATATACACATCCAAGTTAGTAGCTGGTCCCAAAGTAATGGACTATGCACTAAGTTCTCAGTTACCACACAGTGATACAGACACATCAGATACTGCCCCCTGCCCTGAATTCTCTCCCACAGTGGGGGACAACCTTTTTTTGGCAGGCATACTGTACTGTAAGCCCCACACCCTATCCAAGTACCACTCTGATCCCCTTCACCTGCTCAAACTATTGCCCTGTTTTCTGCTCCCTGCCTGATCCATTGCTTTGCACCACATACAGGCTGCCCTGTCTCAAGTGGCACAGGCCACAGGTTAGCCACTCCTGCTCTGTTGCATTTTGACCTCAGGGACTCCTATCCTTTTTCTGGTCCACAAGCAAGAAATCTGAGCTATGGGGCTGGGACGGGCTGACCCCGCATGCTGTTCCCACTTGCGGCCAGGGACTCTGGCAGGAGCGCAGGCACTGAGTGCTGTGGGGCTGGCCTGACATCCTGCCACCACATGTGGCCAGGGACTTGGGGGCAGTGGGGAGAAGCAGCACTATTGGGCTGGGTGGGACTAGTCCTGCACACTGCTGCCACCTGTGGCCTGAGACTGGGGTGGGAGCATGGGGAGCTGCATGCTAGGGGGCCAGGCGGGGCTGGCCCCACTCTCTGCCACCACATGCAGATCCAGGGACTGGTATGCTCCAGGGAATCCAAGGACCTCCCCACAACTCCACACACCCCACCCTGCATCATACCCCTAAAACATACCCACAGCCTCCCCCACAACCACATACCCCACACCCACCCAACCACACCACCTAGAAAGAAGACCTAGGGAGGTTCTCACAGCCACACAGGAAACAACTTTAACTCAAGGAAACAGGTGTGCAAAATGCATTGGTACTCAGGTGGCAGACATCTTTTTGTACTAGTAGAAGACAGCCTAAAAATCTGGAAATTTTGGAATTCTTTCCTGTGCCAGCAGTCACCTAGTTTGCTACATCCATCCCCAACACTTACCCCAATGGAAAAACAAAAAAGGTTTAGGCTATGGAGCACAATTACACAGATTTTCAAAAATAAAACCACAATGATGGGAATTTATGACACTATGCCATCATGTATGTGGAACAACTGAATGCAATTTGAACAAAGATGCCATGAAATTAAGAGTATATATACAAGAATTTAACATAAGCCATTACAATTCTTTATCTATTCAACATAAGCCAATAAAAAAAATTCAAAATTCATGATTTTGCAAAGCAATTATTTGCCACAAAGTAACAGAAATCCCTCAAAACTTTCAAGATTTTGGTAACAGTGTGATTTATGATTTGCTCTTCTATAAAAAAAACTCATTTAGCTGGCAAATTCTTCAGAAGTTTGAGAAGCTGGTGCTTCACAGCTTGTCAGTTGAAACCCTGAAATATATGGTTGTTTTGAATAATGCACTGAAGTTATTTTTCCTCCTGGATGAAGGAGCAATTCTCTACCAGTGGAGTTGCACATGGGATATCCAACAATAGTGTGTACTACTTCAGACACCTACAATCAATGTGCATTTTTAAGTGCCCGATATAGCAACCCATTATTAAACTGCTTTCAAATAAATGGAGATAAAGGATAAGGTTGGTATATATGTGTTTCTTCATGAAGACTATTTTTCATTCTTAGTACACAGATTCAGAATCAGCACTCTAATCCCCTGAGTTGCTAACAGCAGGCTAAAGTATAAAAAATGAAAAACAAAAACTGGGATTGTAAGAAACTTATTCGTCCAGCCAGCTGATCCTTTTCCTAACCTTACTAAATCTTTCTTAAAAATGACCTAGTGATGCCAACATTTAGTATTTTCCTTTGCAGGACACTTTCTCATCCAGAGTTTTTCTGACAAAACAGACATGAACAGAATTTTGAAAAATATGCAAGTGAAAGATAAAAAGGAGCAATACAAGTAGCAATGTCAAGTGAAGATGTATTCTAGACAAAAACCTTGGTGAAGGATTTTTCTGGTGATATCAGAGGTAGGCTGGGAAATGCTGGAGGAAGTGTAAGTTGTCTAACAACACTTTATTTTTCTTTTTATCCTTTTCAAATCAATGTAAAAATAGCCTTTAATGATTTCTAAGGGGTTACTACACTTCACTTTTGCATTAAGATGCCAGTAACTATCAAAGCTACAGCTCTGCCCCAGTTCTCAAAGTCAGGAGGAAACCTTGCCAGCTGGCCATTCTTGCAGAATGAATCATATCTCTCTCTCACAGATTTCACACTAACTTCCTTGCATTTGCTTTAAGTCATGCAGAGCAGGTGCATTTCGTCTCTCCATTCCCAGCATGGGCCAACAATGGAAATTACCCAACTTCATTGACAGGATGCAGCTTGTTAGGTCAAATCTCTCAAGACTAACAAATCTCCATAAAGAACATGCTTCTAAACATCTGCAACCAAAATGTTGAAAATATGCTTAACATAAAAAACTAAAAAAAAAAAAAAAAAATTAAGAGGGCAATGAGATACTGAATGTGTCAACATATAACAAGGCAAGCTATAGTACAGAAATAGGAACGTACAGAATAAAAAAAACATTTAAAAACTTATGAGAAGTTGTCTGCTCATGGTTATTTTTCTTCCCTTTTTAATCAAAGAAACTGAGAGTTAAAATAGGGGAAAAATAACAAAATTAGACAAAAAAAGGGGGGGGGGAAGATGTCTTTCCTTTAACCATTAAAAAATTAAGAATAAGAAACATGTAAACCATTTCCTTTGGTTGTTAGTCTCATACAATGCAAAAATTCTAAAAGAACAAACAATGCATGGTCAAGAAATAAAATGCGCAGAAGTCTGCAGAGTTGGGCATAAACAACGATAAACATACTTTAGGCCTCTGTCAAATGCAAGGAATGTACTCAATAGCGTATGGATCAGCAAAACTGAAAAATGTCAAGGAGTACGTTTATCAAAATGTGAACTCACTCTAAAGGAGGAAATTAGGTTAACACAGATGGGACCAAAGTTATTTCATAAGGGCAGATATACCTCCTAAACCCAGACAAAGTTTGCAGCAAAACTGGTACAAAATTAAAGTATAGCTAAATTGTTCACGGGACTATAATCATCTGGTAACAGCACTCAGCTCTGCTCTCTCTTCTGGCAGCATGCATAGCCATACAAGTATATGTTTTCAGAGGGGACCACTTCTCACTGTGTTGAATGTACTAAACCCTTTACTCAGCAGTCATCTGCAGCACATTTTTAAAAAAGCAGGGTGTTAAAAGATGTTGTCACAGGATATAAAACAAAAATTAAAAAGATTACAAATTCTCCCTGCAGCAATACCACAGGCAGTGATCACATTTCTTTCAAGCTAATTGGGGACATACCAGGTCATTGCTTAGATTTAGAGAAGGGAGAGTGTTGGTCATGACTTTCTTCACAACCCCCAAGAAAACCCCAGGGTGCTACAGGGAGTGGTGCTGGTGTATCATTAGGTTGTGCCCTTCTCTAGCACACACAACTGAGCCAGTGCAATAGCATGGTGCTAAGAGAATGTTATTGGTTGTGTTTTCTTTCAAGAGAAATAGTATACAGATCCCCTGATCACCTGCTTAAACATTTCATGGATCATTTCACAAGTGGGATAATATTAGTGCCAGCATCCTGATTAAATGTCAATTTAGGCAGTTATATTCCCTGTTCCAAACTTACTAGCCCATCCACAACTGCATATGCTATGAACAGCAGCATCAAGCACACCATCTCAATCAGTCAATACCCCCCAAAAATTATTAAGAACAGGCAGTGACAGGTATCGCATGCCATCATGCAGTTATGCTCTACAACAGGAGCAATTTTACTTCAGTGACTACATGTCCTGGATACACAGAGTTTGTAAAATGTTTTTGGATCCCCTCTGGTTGGAAGTCAAAAAGTAAAACATGACAAACTTACAACATCCTCTGTGTTGCTTTAAAGAAGCTTTTGTACTTAGGAGCATATACATTTCCCCCTACAGAAGAAGAATCAATATTCCCGATAGTTTTGCTTACTGTCTATAGTTACATATTCCCATAAATAGCACTCATCCAGATCAATGCTTACTGCGTAAAAAGAAAGGTAAGCGCTCTTTACACTTTAGAAACCAAGCAGAGGACACACAACAGGGAAATGTTTTACTTGCCGCCTCGGTTTATTTCAGGAGGAATTGAGGGAGCCATCATGTTGGTGTCCATTGGCTGGGAGCCATCCTGTGTCATCTGATCTTCCGGAGGCAGGTAAGCAGGAGGGGGAGTATCAGCTAAAAATAGAAAAAGCAGAGATACAATTCCTTCCCCCTCTTTAAAATATACATACATATCCACATAAACAGCTTTAGCTGGGAAATGCTTCCAGTCTGACTCAGCTATAACTTCCACCCACTCATCAGAAATCTGAGAAAGCAATCATGGACCTTGATTCAGGGAAGCAAAGAATTACTGTGCATATTAAGTTTAACTGCAATATAAACTACTGTGCTTCTGTCTGGCCACAAATAATAATAGCTTGGCACCATTTCTACTTAATAGCACTTCACAAGTTTATAGCACTGTACACATATTCATGTCTCTATGAGAAAGCGATCTGCAGTTCTCAGGATCAGGTCCTAAATCGATATTTAATATGGAATACAAGAACAGAAAATAAGAACAGGGTTTGGAGTCAAGAGTTTCTAAACCCATCAGTGCCATTTTCAATATGGTCCCCATTAGTGTAATATGCAAGTATCTCACATGTATTAAAAACATTATCAGCCTTCCTATGATGCATCATCAAGATTTTATAGATGGGGGACTGACAGAAATTTACCCTAATTCCACAGAAGTACATAATTTCCTAACTCCCATCTAAACGAGTGCTTACACCAGTGCACTCTCACAGGTTCAGTCAGTAGTTCATCTCAGTCAAAGGTCTTAGAAGCAGCCGTCTACACTACAGAGCTGAACTACTAGCTGAACCTGTGAAAATGCACTGATGTAAGCACTGCCAACAGAATGTGACCATGCTTGCTGTGATGCTGAAGTTACAATTAGACCTTTTCATGCACACTTGCACCTCACTACGTCTTAGTCAGACTGCCCTCTGGGCATCAATTCCACACTCCCAACACAGCTCCCTCAAGTACTTGCTGAAAGGAGATGTACCATAGCCTCCTAGAAGCTCAGAAGAATAGTAGAAGCAGTCACTCAGTTTCCTGCTCTCCTTTTCCAAAATGAACCCAACCAATTTTATAACAGAAAATCCCTTCCTAATGTTCATCAAGCCTTTGCTGTGAAGCATAAGACATGAAAACTACCACTCAGCTTCACAAATTAAGCCTGCAGCCTATCCTACAGAACTCCATCAGAGTCATTAACTAGCCATCATGGCAAGTAACCAAGAGGCAAGAAATAAGAGAACTATGCTTCCTTTTGTAAGCAATTTTGTTCTTCAAAATGTCAAGCTAACTGAAAGAATATATAAAACCCTTTAAAAAAAACCCTCTAGTAAGAGCTAAACTCTCTCAAGTCTCTATCCTTTCCACTTGAATGTGCAAGTCTCTCCCTTCCTGGGCACGCACCCTAACAGAGAACGTTAAGTTCCTGTGGTATGGACCAAAAGTTTATTAGGCTTCTAAACACAACTGTTTGTCTGTTTGCATCCATTATACTAATGACATGCATATGGGAAAGTACGAATATGTAGTACAGCTGGAAGGCCAAAGGCAAGGGCAACCCATTAGCCAGCATCTGTGATATTCTTAAATCATTAGGTAACAAGCCTACTCCCCCCCTCATTATTTTCACAATTGGGCCTCTTCCTTCCCTACGACACAGATGGATATCTGCCAAGAGACCAGTCTCAAGGCAATGACTTAATATTTTCAGTCAAGGCAATATTGAAGGGTGGGGGAGGGAGGGAGGGAAAGAAAGGAGTAGAGGGGATGACAACTGGAAGGGGGTTCAGGTGGATGCCTTTCACTCCCTCATTCAATTTTTCCCCTGCAGCTGCTGATTGTTTTACTTCTAGGCATGGAACGCAGGATGACAGACTCCTCAGAGACCAAATCTAATGAACTTCCATAAAGCAGCTGATGAAGGACACACCTAAGAAAACCTATTTCATTAGAAACCAAGTTCTTTTCGCTAAAATCATGCAAAGTTTGTACTACAGAAAAGCAGGTACAAAATGCTGGTGCCCACTGCCTGCAGTCCCTTCACCACTGACTCTTTTTAAAGTCATGCTGAGCCACTACATCGAATACATGTCGACTTCTTCACCAGTTCGGGTCATAGAAGTCCTTCCATGACCTGAACTGCACACAACAAAAGTTTTGCTATAGAATTTCCTAATTTTTCACCATGGACTTGTACATACAGCACCACCCTCAGAGATCAGTGATCTTCATACACCAGGGGAAACTTCGGCGATAGACAACTATCAGTAATTACCTTCACTCAGAATACCCATTTTACATAAGAAATTACCAGTATTTTTGCAAGCTTGCCTCTCCCTTTCTATCCATTCCCTCTTCTAGTCTCTATAGGGGGCAGGTACACATACAAATGTTTACTTGTGGAGTGTTCTACTCCCAGTTTTTAAAGGTCGGACCTAAAACAAGATGATCTTTCAGAGGCTGCTTTCTAGATGATAATTCTCCATCTATGAGCAAAACACCCCTGGTTTTCACAATGTTATAGGCAACGTTCAAAACTGAAAGAAGGTATTTGTTCCATTGCCGTTAGTAAGCAAAATACACTGAATGCTTCTTTCCAAGGCCTGTACTGTTTTTCAGCCAAAGTGTATTTGTTTCTTAGAACTACATCACCATTTGAATACATTTAATCAAGTAGTGGTGGTGTGATCCCCTTGGGAAACATCTTTCTTTTGTATAACTGTAATCTAATGCTGAATTTATGTTTGGGTCTCTTTCCACAACAAACAACAAGGATGATCTGTAGCAATATTTCTCTAACACCCCCCCCCCCCCAAAAAAAAAAGCTATACTATGACTAAATACTTCAACAGACAATTTAGACAAATTTTAAAAAAGGAAAAAAATTAAAGGAAAAAAAAGTTACCCAAACTTTTTATCTGCATTGGAAAAAGAGGAAAACTAAAAGTGCTATTGTTAGTCAACCAAGGTTCCTTGGGTGAATTTGATATCTTTTATTAGACCAACCCAAATGGTTGGAGAATAGTTATTAAGCAAGCTTTCAGGTTCAAAAACCCTTCGTCAGGCTAAGGAAGCTTCAGCAGTTGGTGTTAGTCAACCTTATTTAATGGCAACATTGCCTGATGATGACCATCTCTAAGTTGGCTACTGGACATACTTAAAATATTGACTGCTAAACAACTATTGATGAAGACTGCAATACCATATTTAGTCATATACAAAACAAGGTTTGTCAGCATGGGGGAAAAACCCCTCATCTTAAGATTGCAAGCAACCCTCACTAAACACACTGTTTATCATTAAACTGCTGCCAAAAGCAGCACGTGCTCAGTAATGGAAACTGACTATGAAGTTGATTAAATGCAGCTAACACTAAGCATGACTATGAAATACATGATCCATATGGGGTAAACATACTGACAGGACCTTTTTTTTTTGTGGCCTCGGGGAAAAAAAAAGTGCTCCCCCAGAAGGTAAATGAGCACCAGGCCTCAAAGTAGTGCAATATAGGGTTGGCACTCAGAGAAGGCAGACCAAGCTCCAATACCCTCCCTTGGTGCCAAAAATGCTGATAGGAACCTACCACAAGTATAGGGTAAAGCAGGGGTTTGCAATGATTTTGGGCAGAATACTAAGAACACCTGCAACCTTGATTTGTAAAATGCTGGCATGCCAGAGGTGGACAGTGAGGGGCCTGATCCTTGTTGTGGCAGCACAACCATGGTCCCTTTCCCACTGTCCTCCCCGAGGCATGCATGCCAAGCAAAATGCCTACACATGCCACATACAACACCCATGCTGGGGGTTGTCTACCCCTGGACTAAGGCAAACCATCTGAATAAAATATATGCTGATGCCCATTACCTGCAGTCCCCTCATTGCCAGCTCTTTTTTAAGTCATGGTGAGCCACGACACTGAATACATTTCCACTTTCTCTTCACTCCCACAGCTGAGGTGCGTCTTTCTTT